TTCCGCTTCCAAAAACAGTGATCTTGGGACCATGGCCTTCCTTTTTCATATTTCCCAAGTGAAGACACCGTGAGTTAACAATTACATACAAGAATTTTCACTGATTATTTATTGAATCCAGCTCATCCTAGATTTCAGTAATAATCAAGCCTTTCTGCTGCACCGCCCCTGCTCCCTTAGTGCCCCTCAATCCCTCACCAGGTGAGCAAGGCGCCCAGGGGAGCTCTGTGTGGGTCATTCTTACCTTCCCTGGTAAGAAGCACAACACCTTTTTAGCAAGTTGTCCTTTCTTTTTTTTTTTTTTTATCTTCACCCAAGGACATTTTTTTTCCGTTCAGATAGCGTGGAAGAGAGAGAGAGAGAGAGAAACATCGATGTGAAAGGGACACATAGAGTGGCTGCCACCTGCACGACCAACCAGGGCTGGGGACAAACTGCAACCGAGGTACGCACCCTTAACAGGAACCGAACCCAGGTCTCTCTGGACCGCAGGCCAACGCTCTAACCGCTGAGCCAAACTGGCCAGGGCTGTCCTTTCTTTCTTGTTAGTGGAAATAATTCCTCTTAGAAGCTGCTATATACTCTTGAATTCTATTCTAACAACCTGTTTCTACTGAGCTGAGCACTTACTTCTGATTTAAATATTTCCCAGAGGGTTTCAGGGATATGCTTTTTGTATCTTTTCCTAAAACACTTAATACCGAACTGGTTTCAGAAGCAAGTTTATTGAAATTTCCACTTCAGTCTCAAAGTATACTGTTTAAAAGATTCTACAAACATCTGGAAGAGTTGGTCAAGACTTTAAATTCTGAAAATATTTCTGCTTTTCTTTTTTTTTTTTAAATCCTCACCCAAGGATATTTTTCCATTTATCTGCAGATAGAGTGGGAGGGAGGGAGAGAAAAAGAGAGAGGTGGGGGAGAGAGAGAAAAAAAACATCAATGTGAGAAAGACACACTGATTGGTTGCCTCCCACACGACCCTGACCAGGGCTGGGGACTGAACTACAACTGAGGTACATGCCCTTGACCAGAATCGAATCTGAGACTCTTTGGTCTGAAGGCCGAAGCTCTAACCACTGAGCCAAGCTGGCCAGGGCTGCTTTTCATTTTTGACATTTTAAATGAAATCACCTTCCACATGCAAACTTACTAGAATATAAAAGCTATTACATATGGTTGTGCTACTTGGCTTCTAAAATATTTCTGATAACGTGATTATAAGGCATTCAACATCTCTTCAAGGTTGTTACTCAGTTCTTTTTAATTTCCACAAAGTTACTTAAAATAATTTTTTAATTTATGGATTAAGAGTTTGCAATCTTGCTCTTCTCATGTAACTGTGGAAATCATACATATGTGTAAGCCTAAAATATGCATATGCTTCTGCCTCAAAGACACTGGTACAAGTAAATACCCAGATTGATTTTGCTCTTCCTAGCTCTAAGAATTTTCATAAGAATAAAAGTAGTACAAAATGTAATAGTAACTGAGTTTAGCATCTGCCTGAATATTCTAATATACAGTCAACATTCAATTGCTAGAACATTTCTTGAGGCTCACAAAAACTATACCCATTCATTAAGGATTAAGTGTTAGACAAAAGGAATAAAGTAATAAAATAAGCATAAAACATAAGCTCACTACATTTGTACACAATTTCATTAGGGGCAAAGCAATTTTCTGAAGGCTAACCTAAGCATGAAATCTGATACTCAGCAATAAACAAAACAATACATTCACTGTTATCTAATTTTTTTTTTCATCCTTACCCGAGGACATTTTTCCATTTTTTGTTCAGATAGAGTGGGAGGGAGAGAGAGGAAGAGAGAGAGAGAGAGAAACATCGACGTGAAAGGGACACATCGAATGGCTGCCACCCACACGACCAACCAGGGCCGGGGACAAACTGCAACCGAGGTACACGCACTTAGCGGGAACCGAACCCGGGTCTCTCTGGACTGCAGGCCAATGCTCTAACCGCTGAGCCAAACTGGCCAGGGCTAATCATTTTTTTTTTTTTTTTTTAATCTTCACCAGAGGATATTTTTCCATCCATCTTCAGATAGAGTGGGAGGCAGGGAGGAAGAGGGAGAGAGAAACAAACATCGATGCGAGAGAGATGCATCGACTGGTTGCCTTCAGTGAGTCCCCTATCTGGGCCGGGGACGAACCGCAACCGAGGTATATGCCCTTAACTGGAATCAAACCCATGACTCTCTGGTCCGAGGACCAACACTCTAACCACTGAGGCAAACTGGCCAGGGCAGTTTCTTATCTAATCTTAGTAGAAAATGATGACTGATGAAGAGAAATAAACAGATTTTCAAACCACATTAATAAACCATGAAATTGCTGTTCTTTGTCTATAATATCATCATGACCTACCCAACGTCTGATTTCAAAATTATCAATTTGGAAAGACTAACCCTAATTCAACAAATAAACTCTTTTAACATACGGTTAAAAGTGTAAAGCTCCATGCATGTAGAAGCTATAATGCAAAAGCAGGAGCATATTTATACATCTTTAAGCACTTGATAATCATCTTATAAGACACACTCCTACATGCCAACAGCAATGCACAAACCATATAACACAAGAGTCAATTTAAAAGAAATAGTGTGAAGTCTGCCTTTTCCATTGTCACTTAAAATCATCTATTTGTATATTCTAAGTACTATTTATAAATATATTTCCTTAACATTCTTTAAGTCTTTCTCAACATTTTTAAAATAGGAGAAAGTCCCAGAAATGACACAAATTTAAAATGAAAATACTACTAAAAATTTAAGAAACACTGAAATTAAAAAAAAAAAAATAGTAGGATGGTTAGTGGTGGTTTCTTACAACTATTTTACAAAATAAATACTTTACTGCTTGGTGATTTTGAGACAAATCAATGCACTATAAAGTACTCTTTGTAGCTCTGAAGTCTTCATTTTGTGCCTTAACAAAAGCTGACAATCATTCGTAATGAAGTCTTTTTATAGTTACAGGGCTTTCATGTCTCTTCCGAAGATGTATTAAACCTTTGGGTGCTCCATAAAACCGACCAATTAATTAACTCTACCATAAAAACCTGAGAAGCTATTCTAAAATATTTATATCAAGGACCAGGGAAGTCCAAATAAATTTCTTGTCTACCCAGTATGCTCTTACTTTATTTACTAAGTTCAAAATTTTCTTCAAATGGGTTCTTTCAAAGGAAACTATAAAAGATGTACCACAACAGGTGAGTTCCCAATACTGCCATTCAAATTCACCTAAAGTAAGAAATGATCCATCTTCAGAAATAACTGTGAGAGGACATTGGAACAGAGTTCAGGGGAGAGCAGAGAGCTTTGGGTCAGACGGAACTCAGGCTCCATTCTTGCTTCATCTCTTGCTAACTTCACCATGTTGGTCAAGTTAAAACCTCTTTGAGTCTTGATTTCAATTATCAAAGGGAAACACAAGGCAAACTACAGGTTGTTGTGAGCACTGAATTAGAAAACATATAATAATAGACTGCTTAGCACAGTAGCTAGGTCATAAGAAATATTCAATAAATAACTGCAATTACTAAGAAATGCTTAATAACCCATATTCAGTGTAATCTAATATCTAAATTCCAACTGATGTTATAAATCATTAGAAGGAAAAATATAAAAATTCAAGGACAGATTTTTCTTTAATGCTCTTAACCTGAGTATCCTTTACATTAGTGTTTTTCAAACCGCAGGTAAGGGCTCATTAATGGGATTGAAATCATTTAGTGGGTCTCATCCAGCATTTCTAAATAAAATAGAATAAAAAAAATGTAAGAATGCATAGCACAGAGGAAGTCCAAGCATTGACTCATAAATTTTTTTTTAAATTAAACACATTTGTAGTGTATCTGTATACTGGATAGCAAAGTAAAATGTATCTCTTGTTGTGCAAAAAAAAAAAAAAAAAGTTTAAAAACCAGTGCTTTACATTATAATAAGAATAAAAATAATTAGCTGACACTGCTTAGTTTCTACTAAACACTGCTAAACACACACACTGTTTCATTTCATTCTCCCCCAAATCCTCTAAGGTAGGTGCTATAACTTCCCCGATTTTACTGATGAGCCAACTGAGACTAGAGATTCAGTCACTTGCCAAGGATGCAGAGCTACTAACTGGTAAATCCAGGCTTCAAATTTAGTCACCTGATTCCAGAACTTGCACATTTAACCACTTCTCACAAGTAGAGGTTGTAAAATGTGACTTTTCCTACTATGTAAGTTATTTAAAAGGTAGGCTTTCTCGTGAGGCCTAACTCGAGTGATTTTCTGCAGGTGCACACATCCTGATGCGGAGGTGAAAGCACCAGGCGCAATGTCCAGCTTCCGTCCCTGGCAGTGCTGCTTTGGTGGCGAGGAGTTGGCAAGTCATTTAATCTCGCTGTGTCTGGATTTCCTCACCTACAACACGGGAATGATAATATCTGCCCTGCCTCCCCACAGGCCATTGTGAGAAAGTATATGTACATATAACAAGCGTAATGTTCCTTTGTGCGCTCAGTTATATGAGATGATCATGAATACCACCCAAGGGGCCCCGTTCGTCATAGACACACATCAAATATGATAAAAAAAAAAAAAAAAGGTCATCCGGCTTTTACAAACTGTTTGTGGAAACACTTCACACAGTTCCTGGCACACAGGAGGCCTTCAGTAAATGTTCATTAAACTAAAAGAAGTGAACCCATTTGATTTGTATGCGTGTTTTATCCATTTGTACTTTACTTTTCATTAATTTATCCTTTCTACAACACTTTATCAAATACCTACTACACACCAGATTAGAAATATGGGCTACAAAAGGAAGAAGGAAAAAAAAAGACCAAAAGACTATCCCTTGCCCTGGAGAATCTCATGTTAATTTCAATTAACCTTTCCAAAATTGTAAAATACAGCTTCCTCATCCAGTAACAATAATAACTTAGGTTTACCAGAGTGCTTTGTAATTTAGAAAGAAATACAGGCATACCTCAGAGATCTTGTAGGTTCAGTTTCAGACCACTGCTTCTTTTTGTAGGTGGAGGGCCTTGCTTTCAGTTTGTAAGAAAATGCAACACCTGGGAAATGCAAGAAAGCCAAGCTCCATCAAACCTGTGTATGGTAGCTTTTGTTTCTCACAACAACTGCCTAAATACGTTAAGTTTGTATTATCTTCCTGACTTCAAATCCAGTTCAAGTGCGGCTAAGTCTTTAGAGTAAAAGTTTCTTGATGTCAGGGGTAACTGTAAAAATAAGGTTTTGAAGAAAATACATTTTAAATAATACTGGAAAGGGGAGATGTAGCAGAATGACTGTTTTCCCTTTACATTTCTGAGTTGAAGCAATCAATAATGCAACCATATCACCTACATCAGATGCATTTTTTCAAAATGTTTCTTTCAAAAACCTGCCTTTGAATTTGTTTCTTACAGGCAATTTTCTGTTGAATATCTGGAACTAGGATTCAGTTTTCTCATAAAGGAGACAGCAGTGGCAGTGTCCTGCCTTTGTTGACTTTTAAAAATTACTCAAAATTGATTGTTGTATTCAGATATCTGAGTCACATACAATGCCAAATAATTGTTAGCCATTTTATATACAATTCAACTACTATAGGTGATTTTTACAGGGAAATAATGATTTAATGACAACTTAATGAACTGAAAATTTGCTACAGGAAATTGACTAAGAATCTTTTACTAAAATTGCCTTATCCTTTGTATTCTAACCACTCCCTCTCCATCACACCACACACACACACACACACACACACACACACACACCCTCCCTCACCTTCACCAGATCAGTTTCTGGGCCATTATTCATAAAACCATATTAAAATTTCACAACACATGGTCATAGTTACTAGGTTTTGCCCTCCCTTCCCTCATCCAGAGAATCAATGTGTCTTTAAATATACCTATTCTCTCTTAAAATCCAAAATCCAGAGAATGACTCTGATGTCTCTAGGCTGAGACCGCGTAACACCAAATGTGAACGTCAGCCCTTCTGTTGACTGATAGCCAGGAGTAAAGGCCGTACCCCACCCACCGTCTCCGTAGGGTTAGGAGGTGCAATCTCGCCACTACAGACCTCTGCAAGACAGGGCGGCTATAGAACCGGGAAAACCATCGCCAGAACCTCTGGGAGAAGATAAGGAAAACACATTTGTACAACACTGGCAGCGTGTAATCTCCCGGCTCCAGCCCTTGGTAAACAGGGAAAACCTTTGTCTTGCCTCAGCCATCCAACTGGGGGCTCATCAGAATTGGGGCAACAAGAGTTTGTGCGAAATGACTTGGCAGAGGTTAAACAAAGCCACGCAGCTCTGGCGGGGGAGAGGGCTGACCCCGGTCGGCGTCCCAGCTCCCAGACGGCGTCTCCGCCGCTACCGGACCCGAGCCGGGGACCCGGGGCCGGAACCCCGGCGCGGGAAGGAAAGAGGGAATCAAGATCCCACGCTCTCGGCAAGTTCCCGGGGCGCTGCCCGCCGCAGGTTCCCCCGAGCGGGATCCGAGGAGGCGCACGCCGCGCGCCGGTTCCTCTGGGAGTGTCCGCGCCGCACACGCCGGGACCCCGCCCCGAAGTCCACGGCCGGCCACGCCAAACCCACACGCCCAGGGCAAGGTCAAGGTCAGGGGCCCCGCGCGCCGCCGGGGCTTGGCCCCGGGGATCGCGAGCGGCGGGGAGAAGCCCGCCCGCTGCCCCATTGTCTGCTCCGGCCGCGGGCCGAGAGGGCGCTCACCTGAGGTCCCCGCCCGGCGCCGAGGCTGGCAGCGCGGCTGCACAGGGACGAGCGGTCCCGCGCGGGCGGAGGACGCGACTGCCCAGCTGCGACTGCCCCGCAGCCCAGCAGCCTCCGCAGCAGCACCAGCAGCGCACCCGCCTCTCAGGCGGCCACGGCCTCCATTGCTCTCCCCGCCGCCGCCACCGCGCGGCACTGCGCGCCCGGCCCCGCGCGGCGTGGTCACATGCTCCGCCGGCGCCTCGGGCGCTCGGACCCGAGCCGCGGCCCCGCCCGACTTCGCCCCGGACCGCTGGGCGCCCCCGCGAGGCACCGGACGCCCCGACTTCCCTCCTGCGTCCCAGGAGTGGCGCGCGCCAGACGGCGCCTCTCGCCAGGGGAGCCCAGAAAGTGGGGGCCGGCCGCGGGGAAGGGCGTGGGACTGATCACTGCTCTCCCCACCACCGCAAGGGGACAGCCCGAGGGACGGCGCACCGCGTGGTCTGAAGTTACTGCGATGGGTTCCCTGGGAGGCTATTGTGGGGCGAGAACCGGGGACCGTTCAGCCACTCCACGGGGTGCAAATCTGGCCCTTGGTACCTGGATGAGCCAGAGACCAAGGGGAGCGACCTGGACTCTGCAGAGCCGCGATCATGGGAAAGGGCACTGGGACTCCTGATAGTCGAACAAGTTGAAAGATAACACCCAGAAATGGAAAAGCTCGAAATCGCTTTGCTGAGTTGCTGTACATCAGAACAGAATGACGTTGTCATTTGGCATTATTGTTGCAGCCATAATGAAATTAAATATTGACTTTGATGTTTTAAAGAAAATATTATCTTTTCCTATTGTGGCCTAACTGGAAATACTGAGAGTTTTTCCTCCATACCTTTTACTATGACTATTTCAGTGTGTTACCAAACTCAAGGGGTTTGGGGTTTGGGGTTTAGGGTATTCCATTAAAGAACCAGACTTTGTTGTACTTAGGTAGTTTTATTTGCTTGCATCAAGTAAAGGAGACAGAACATTCACATCCTGTCTCCTGGAAGCAAAGCTTAGCTGCTGCTTATATACTAGGTTAATTACATGTTGATTTCTTCTTTGCAGTTGGCTACACTTATCAGGCTGGGTTCCTGGCTTCAGGTGAATCCCATCCTGTTACAGCTGCTTCTGTAAAATATTGTACTACATTTTAATGTTTAGCAAGAATAGCATTTAGGAAGAACTTCCCAGACCTTGAGACCCTTGTCCTATTTAACAAGTGGGAACTCTTGGAAATCAGTTTCTGGTGATCTTTTCCTTCACTATTCATGCAAAGATGCTAAAAAATAATTTAGTATCATTAAGCGGGGAATTTAAAACAAAGAGAAAATCTCAGTGACAAAGATGGAAAAGATGAAAGGTAACCCCAAAAGATTCTCAATCTTGAGTCAGGAGTCTCAATGCCAAAAGCATGACTATTAATTTTAATGCAGATGCGTGACTTAGAAGGAGCAACAACTTTGATGCTGCAAGGATCTAGTGCATGTTACCAACTGGGTTTTTTCAGATAAACATTTAAATTAATACCAGCATAAAATATGGTTGTATATTTTATAAATATAGGTATCATTCACTTGTTTAGTGCTTGCATATGCTAATGAAGAATTTTATAAAGGGAGAGCAAGTCCCTTTTGAGTTAATACTATAGCACTAGAAGTTCCCCAAAGCCCAAAATTAAATCCACGTAGAACATATAACTGGGGTCTTTTTCTTGCTATATTACAGTCTTGCCAACTACATGAAAATATACCCTATAAAAATTCAAATTTTGGCCCTGGTCAGGGCTCAGTTGGTTAGAGCGTGTGGTTCCATCTTCTGACAGGGCACATACAAGAAGCAACCAATGAATACATAAATAAGTGGAACAACAATCCTATCCACACCTCTCTCTCTCTCTCTCTCTCTCAAATAAAATCAATAAAACTTTTCTTTAAGATTTCAGATGTACATGAATCAAGTGTGGATCTACTATCTTTTAATGTTATAAGGCAAGGTATCCCAAATTATACACCCTTAAAATATTGAAAGAGTTCTAGAGAACTTATGCTCATATTAGAGCTTTCTAGCTAGACTTTGTGTCCGATGGGCCTCAAAATTCCGAGCACCGCTTTAGGCAGGTTCTGTTTCCTCCCTCACTTATCCAATGCACTGGTTCATCGTTGCTACACATGAGGCTATAATAACTGGCACATCAAACCAGCTCTCAGTCTGCATTTCCACTTTGAAATAGCTAACTGCCTTTCTGTTAGGACAGATTTTCAGAGACCATAGTACAATACAAAAGAAAGATGCAGAATATTAGTAATTTTATACATATCCATTTAATTATTTGGGGGGTTATAGAAAGGATGTGAGAAATAAACTATATAGTTAAACCAGTTGTTCTCAATCATGGGTAATTTTGTCCTCTAAAACGTGTTTGGCAATGTGGAGACATTTTTGGTTGTCATAACTGATTGGCAGGTGCTACTACTGGCATCTAGTGGGTAAAGGCCAGAGATACTGCTAAACATTCTACAATGCACAGGACAACCTCCACAACCAAGAATCATCTAGCCCAAATGTCCATAGTGACAAGGTTGAGAAACCCTGAGTTAGACCACGGACTTCCAAAGCCTTTTGAGTCTATACTTCACCATGTCTGCTTACCTAAATCCCTTTCTCTGTGTATTCACATTTTTTTTTAAAGTTCAGAAAAGAAATACAATAGTAAAAACTTTCACTAGGAGGAAAGACTAAAAAACTGAGTGGGACAAAAAGTAATTGTTCAAATAGAAGTCATATGGATAATAGGTAAAGAGGAAAAGATAGGAAAAAGCTCAAGTAGTAGAAACACTGTGGTGTAGGAAGTATCTTAATTGTCCCTTGCAGCTTCTTCAGAACCCTGTTGGGTCTTCCCAACAGCCTTGACTTCCAGGATGAAAAAACTGAAGTGCACAATCATTTTGAATGTTTCCATTAGTCAGGCATAAGGTGAGCAACACCCTCTTGGTCACTCCAGATGATAGCTGTTGTGAATATTCAAAGTTCAAGGCGAGCAGAGTGGGCTCATTTAAGTGGCTCAGAGGGTAGGCTGTAGCTCCTGGGATGGGGTAAGAATGAGAGCATCTTTCCTGTTCATAGGACTGACTTCCTGTCCCTACGCGGGTCCGAGGATAATTCACTTCAGACATTTTCTCAAATCTGTAAAATGGGGATAACTGTTGTATCTCACATGTCTTATATCTAAATTACAAAGTTTTTTTTTTCTTTTTTTATTTAGGGAGAGGAAGAGGAGAGATGCTGGGAGAAAGGAAGGGGACAGAAAGGAGAGAAATGGAGGGAGAGGAGGTGAGGAGGAGGACGAAGAGGAGGGGGCAGAGGTGTGGAAGAGGAGGAGAGAGGGGAAAGAAGAGAGGAGAAAATTACAAAGTTATGATGGCATCTGAAAATAATGGGAAAGTATAGTAGGCAAATACTAACAAAAAGAAAGCATATGGACAACTGGATATCCATTTGCCAAAAAAAATGAAGCTTGAAAAAAACTATGAAGCTGGATCACTATCTCACACCAAATACAGAATTACTTCAGAAAGAATCATTGACCTAAAGGTAAGAGCTGAAACTCTTGGAAGAAAACGTAGGAGTAAGTCTTCACATCCTTGGGTTAGACAACAGTTTCTTAGATATGACACCAAAAGCACAAGCAACAAAAGAAGTAATAAATAAAATTAGACTACATCAAAATTAAAACTTTTTTTGCTATAAATTATACCATAAAGAGAGTAAAACTATGACCCACAGAATGGGAAAAGATATTTGCAGATCCTTTATCTGAAAAGGGACTTGTACACAGAACACAGAAAGAACTTTTACAACTCAATAATTAAAGAGACAAATATCTCAATTTTAAAATGGACAAAGGCCCCCTGGCTGGTTTGGCTCAGCGGTTAGAGCGTTGGCCCGTGAACCAGAGAGTCTCAGGTTCAGTTCCTGCTAAGGGCACCTACCTCGGTTGTAGTTTGTCCCCAGCCCTGGTTGGGGTTGTGCAGGTGGCAGCCACTTGATGTGTCTTTCTCACATCGATGTTTCTCTCTCTCTCTCTCTCTCTCTCTTCTTCTCTCTCTCCCTCCCACTCTATCTGAAGATAAATGCAAAAAAATGTCTTTAGGTGAGGATTAAAAAAAATAAAATAAAAAGATAAAATGGACAAAGGATCTCGATAGACATTTTTTCAACAAAGGTGTACAAATAGCCAAGAAGCAAATGAAAAGATGCTCAACACTATT